GTGGTATTTGCCGATTCTCCGAACTACTCAAAATTTCCACTACCGGTTCTCCAGAACTGGTCAGAACCTGCTGAAGATCACGTCTGGTGCAACTACGTGCTCCGCATAAAATCCCCCGACTGTTAGAAATCGGTGCTGGAGAAGAACGGTTGATCTTTGATGCCTCGTTTCATGGGTCGGTCACCGTCAAGGAGACAAAATATATTACCTGAAGTGCGTAGTTCTTGGAGATCCTTTCCACCATGTAAGGGACAGAGGTCTGGAAGATCTCCTTGAAAGTCAGGGGGTTCATCATGGTGAAGACCCCAGCAAAGTGTTCCAGGACCTCTTTCTCCTCCTTCATTCTGACCGTCTGGCAGTTGGCGACCCGAATATACGTCTGCCCGTTCCCGGCAATTTGGACCTGGGTGCAAAGGATACATTTTCACAGAATTAAAATAAGGCGTCCATGATGGCTTTAATGAGAAAAGGCTGAGCTTTTTCATTTCTTGATTCAGCACATGGAACCTACAGAGGTCATCACCAATATATAAACATAGGTTTAGATAAAGCATCAACCAATAGATAGCGAGATGGGTGGATGGATAGAGAGATGGATGGAGAGTTGGATGGATGTAGAGATGGATGGAGATGGATGATGGAGAGATGGATGGATGGATGGATGGATGGATGGAGAGAGAAATTGATGGAGATGGATGGAGAGATGGATGGATGGGTGAATGGGTGGATGGATGGGTGGAGAAGGATGGATGGGTGGGTGGATGGATAGTGAGATGGGTGGGTGGATGGGTGAGTGGGTGGATGATGGATGGATTGGTGGGTGGATGGATGGATTGATGGATGGATGGATGGAGAAATGGATGGATGGATGGATGGAGATGGATGGAGAGATGAATAGATGGGTGAGTGGGTGGATAGTGAGATGGGGGGGTGGATGGGTGAGTGGGTGGGTGGGTGGATGGATGGATGGATTGGTGGGTGGGTGGATGGATGGATGGATGGATTGGTGGATGGAGAGATGGATGGAGAGAGAGATAGATGGATGGAGAGATGGATAGATGGGTGAGTGTGTGGGTGGGTGGGTGGATAATGAGATGGGTAGGTGGATGGGTGAGTGGGTGGGTGATGGATGGATTGGTGGGTGGATGGATGGATTGATGGATGGATGGATGGAGAAATGGATGGATGGATGGATGGAGATGGATGGAGA